AACCGCTTCCAACCGTCGATATACACGTATATACATGACGTTCGTTTTCGCCCCCGGTCTTCACGCTCGAGCTAACCAGAAGTGTGAAAATCCGTAATGAGAAGCTAAACGACCGAATTCGTGCCTATAATGAGTACGGGCATAGCGCGACGACCTTTAGGCCCGTTTTTTTTCGCGCGTTATTATTAATTCGACGTAACGAGATATAATGCGCCCCGCGCTCTTTCTAAAGTGTCGTGTCAATTATATAAATGTCGTCGTGACATCAAGAAATAGATTGATATTTAATAATGATAGCAAATAAAACGATACTAGATAATAAATGACTTTGGGAAATAAAAAGATTAAGATAAAAATAAATATTGTTAGATCTTCTTTTATCTTTCTTCTTTTCTATTAATTTCAAGGATTGCTTGTGTATAAGTGCTAGTGTATGTCACGTGTTTAATATAAGAAACGGGATTATACGTGAAAATAAATGTGGCGTTCCCGATTTTTGCCACGCGATTCTTGATCGAATTTCTAGCTAGGCATGTTTTTAACGAATATTTACGTCGTGCCGTCTAGATTATTCTTTCCTCGGCGAAAACTTGTATCGTGGCATCTACATTATAAAAGTGTCAAGAGTTATTTTATTATACGTCGCGTGCTAACTGCGAATTACGAGCTTACGGCCGAGATTAAATGTCCAATGCGCGTTTTCTCTAAATGCACGCGATAACGTTTCGGGTAAGAACGTAGATTCTTATCTCGCGATATTTTCATCATACTTGAGAATTAATATCATTAAGATACGTGTCACGTATCACATATGTAATGTGTATAATGAGAATATTCACCGCATTTATAATGTTCTTTATCTCTTCTGAAACCTATATGTATATCTTTAAATGAACACGTTTTGGAAACGTGTCAATTATATTTTTCACGATATTTCCATTATTCTCCTGAAAATTATAATAATAATATCAAGACATCTATCATATTAATGAAAATGTCCATAGTATTTATAATATTCTCTATTTTTTCTAAAATCTGTGCAAGAAATCAATCAGTTATTTTTCGTGTACATTGATACGAAAAAAAAAAGAAGAATTAAAAAGAACGAAAGTCTGCGTCTCGATATTACCGAAGAGCCTTCATTCCCGTTAATTTCTATTCTCTGCAATTCTTAGACCCCAACCTAAATTTACGTTAAGTTTAATCACAATCCTCTATAGGGAAACAAACATCTTTGATATCGTCTTTCTTTTCAGTTAAGATTTCGGTCAGGATGATTATATGACAGTGTTTGCAATAATCTTGCGCTTTGTCTAAACTGAGCTACGTTTAAAACTATGACATTCTCTTTTAATCCGACTTTTCTACGTTATTTTATTGTACTTTTCATATCTTTAGAAGGCTCGTTCTAAAAATAAACAATTTTCTCTTTCTTTTTCTCTGATATTATCTCCTTCTTCCTCTTTGCTTGCAAAAACGTCGAGACTCATAATAAATAAATAATCGTAAGTAAATAATCGAGAGCGAGCAAGAATGTAATGAAATTTGTCCATCTTTAATTATTTATTTATTGTACACGATCGATCAGTCATCAACTTCGCGTCGATTAGCAGCAATATGTTCAAAAGAGAAAAGTCACAGAATTTCGGCGTATTTATCGTATAATCACGATTAATGACTATTAGAGATTATTAACAATTAGTGATTATTTATGATTTATTCCTCCGTATGTATCGATTGTACTAATTAATTGTACTAAACATTTTGATGTGTCAAATGAGCCAAAAACAACTCGAGATTTTTGTCTTTAAATGGGACATGAGTACTTGCGCTAAGTCACTCGCCATTGGGTCTGATAAAGCCGCTATCGGCGCGCGACGCTGTCCTAAAAATATTTGATCAAGTGTGTATCATGTCATAAAGGCTTCAGCTTTACGAGTCGATACTTTCACAATAATAAAAGACTTTAACAGTCGTGTGTTTTCGGCGCATCTGTGTTTGATTCTTATTATATATAAATATATTCTCATTTATACTATAAACAAGAGCAAACAGACGAGTAAACAATTTTTCAGTGCGTGAAGAGTGCGTTTCGATCTGAAGAAGATACAAGTCGATAGGAAGGTCACCGAATCTCTACGGAACAAAAGTATACAGACTCAAAGGCACGCTCTTGTACGATATTTGATCGCGCTCGATTGTAAGTACATTTTATTCCAATTTGTGTGCGAATGCATAATATATCGTGCATGCATTGCCCTTGATTATAACATTATGTATCGATACCGCGATACGCATGATTGATAGTTTGACGTTTCAATGCGGAATCCTTTTTGTGGTATATTTCGTTACTTCATTATTCTTTTCTACTGTATCTTTAAATACACGCATAATAACAATTCGTAGTTAAAGACTGCGTCATTTTTCTTCGATGAAAAAAAGAAAATAAGAAAAAGATTGCACGGTAGGGTAAAAGTTACGCGGCAAAAGTTGCTTCATCAGGCGTTTCCTGCATTCGGAACTTGTAATAACAAACCTGTCGTGCCACGAAGAGCGGCCACAGGGTGAAATATGACCTATTTTCGTTACTCTCCGGATTGAAAGTATTTCCGACGTCTGAGGGTTAAGCTAAGGCGAGAAATGTCGGATCGAGACACTCCCCGCGTTGCGGGGAAAGGTGAAAAACGAGGGGCGTTCGGGCTGGTCGTCATCATCGTCGTCGTGCTATAACGTGGGCTGACGTGTGTCGATATAGAGGCACTCGCGCGTGTTTCGGTCCAGCGGCACAGCCGCGCCAGGGTCTCCCTGGGACCATAACTCGATATCTCCCGGAAAATCCCCCTATCGTGCTTTACAGCCTATACAAACGTCCGAATTGAATGCCAGCCCGAGACGTCGACCGCTTGTAAATATTACGCAGCAACTCATTCGTCTTTGACCTTTCGATTGTAAAAGCTGTATATAAACATGCAACTAGGATAAAGAGCTCTCTGAAAAACCTAATAAAAGCATATAAAACTTTAAAAGGTTATAGGAGTCTAGCACAAATTAAAAAGTAGGATACTTTTTAAATTTGTATTTAAAGAAATAAAAATATGTTATTTATTAACAATATACTTAAAATAAAAAATAGGCATCTTTTTATCTTTACATTTGTCATTTTCGATTAAAGCTTTTATTAAATTTCTATTTTTTTTTTCTTTAAGTTATAAAAAAACGAATTTTAGATCGAGATTAAATCTTTCTTTTCTCCATACGATTATTCAGAACAGCATTATAATTCTGTTTCAGTATTTTTTGCACACAGTTTTTTATTTTTATTTTTTATTATTAAAAAA